GACCACTATAAGAACTGGTGTATAATTGATTCGAACGACAGTAACCCTGTCTACTACCACAGTGGGACGGCATTGAAAGGGTTCAAAATCCGAGCCTTCGGGCGGCTTAGACCATGACAACGACAGTGACTTGAACCGCAGGGTTACTAACACTATCACCATGTTGTCACAATACGGTACAATTAAGTTGGAGGATCCCTTATCAAGCACCTAATCACACAAGCTATGAAAGTGTAATTATGAAATTAAACAGCTACTATTTCAGGATAAAGCAGCTGATGGCCTTACTTCTATTCTAAATACCTAAGTCAATGCTTCAAAAACAATGATGAGATCGGAACCAGCTGGCTATCGATTATCATTCTAACCAGTGATGTACACACACCGAGTGCGCAAATGCTAATTAGCGAAAACAACTGCCCTGGGGAGAGGGGGGGGACACGTACACAATCCGTTCTGACCGACGACAAGCAACAGACCTGGTCGAATTTGTACCATTTGACTAGACAACCAAATAACTACCATTTCGGATGATTACCTATGAATACGTTGTCACAACAAGCTTCTTTTGGAAGAAAAGCAAAAATAGAAGAAACACAATGTCAAGTTAACCTGAACTGAATTAGGGCAGTTGACTTTTTCACATAAAGACTGTAATTATCTCTTGGCTGAGTAAAGTCAATTCCAGTCCAAACTAATATCTGTTTGGGAACAGCTAAGTCCCTAATACAGATGAATATGCGGCCGCCGGGGAGGGGGGTAGTCCTTCGGGACCATCCGAGGAGCGGTTTTTCACTCGATGATCATTTGATGGTATAGTGACGTTACAGGGAAGTGTTATTGTATTCTAAACAGTGAAACTGGATGAAACTAGGTATAATCTACCAAAACCTATTCAAATTATTTTAAAACTTTACTGTTGAGGAGAGACTATGAGGAACGAATAGGTGGCATGGAACGAAAAGCTTCTTTTTACTTGTATTGATCGATCGCCGGCAATGCCTCAACTGCACCNAAACGGATCAGAGGCTTGAGAGACATACTAATATGACTAGAAGAATGTGAAAAACGCAGGATTAAACGTCCAAAACTAAGTTACACACGTCTGACTCACCGGGGAACGAGAATATGCACAGGGTTACGCGTGAAGCGTTGGATCATTTCCAGCTGTTCCGTGGGCATGGTCGCAGAGACGATTACACACTGTGTACCCTCCCGTCGAGCACCGCACGTGAGTGCCCATTCATCGGCTAGCGGAAGTCGACGGTAGATCTCTTCAAGCTGTTCCCGCAGTCCACGATTGAGCATTTCATCGGCCTCGTCCAAGACGAATGACCGCAAATGGTCTACCCGAAGACTACCTTGACGAATCAGATCTGACGAAAAAGAACAGCCGAAAATTTCCTTCAATTCAAACAGTGAGAATTAAAATTTTAGAAAAGTCTTTTTAATTCCTTTTTCTATTTATTCAATATACAAACGTACAGTCAATTTTCAGGAAGGGAGTTGTGGCCATACAAAAGCTGCCTGAGGAAAATACAGATAATAAGGAGGACAGGCGGCGGTGGAGCAGGTTTGAACCCGGGACACCCAGGTCACTAGTTGGTGACCTAACCACTTGGCCACCACCGCCCAAGGTGTGGTGATCTTTTAAGTAGAACAGTTGGCTTGGATTGATAAAACAGTACCAGCGGATGACTTTTAATGACATCCTAAGTCTTTTCAATATTATCACTGTTGATCACGGCATTCGACAATGGCCGGTCTAGATGATTACATCATTAACACAATATCTACAAAAAAACACATCAAACTAATTACTTATAAACTAACAACAACAGTCGTAGAATGGTTACGAACAACTGAGGAATATCCACAACAAGTTTACCATAACTCCAAGACACATCAGAACGAACGTGCTAAATGAACGGTAATTTATGGCTAGTGGCGATTTTCGGTTTAAGAAATTGGATACAACGTGAAAACTCCACAGTTGAACGTGGTACCGGTCGCCACATGGATCTGCAAAATCGAACACGGGTACCTCAATCGCCAGAACATGAAACTCAGGATAGTGGCGTGCTTCCATGACCCTGTGAGCTACGCAGAATGGCTTCTCACAGCTGCAGACCAAATCACGTTTTAAAGGTTGAGGACAGATAAAGCTAAACAAAGTAAGGGTAGGGCTTACTTCCAGCTGTGGGAAAGATACGCACACTTCATTAGGAAATCCCACAAGTCGGACATCTTCTGAACTGTCGCCAGGAGAAATTCATCAACAACAAACAACAGCGCTCGTGAAGTTACTCAACTGATATGCTATGGATGAGATGTACCAGAAGACTTCAATTCACTACTCATATCGAACTTCAAGGCAAACCATTAGCTACTCCCACAAAAGAGCTAAATGCGTTTTGCCTGGTACATATCAAGTAATTTACTGCCTCTAAATGGCTTGATGTTTTCCAAGAACATTTTCCTTTTTATATCTCTGGTGGTCTATTCATTCTGAGTAAAACGGCCTGTCAACTCTGAGAGTCTAACTGTCAGGGGATCGTAACTTGGATTTTGAATAAAATGTGCACTGCTCAGCAGCTTCGAAATGATTGTGCTGAAAGAGAAAAGAGAATTGTCTGCGATCGTTAACACATGCTTTGTAGAACCGGAAGCCCCGTGATTTTCAAGTCACGTTCGTTTGCGATGAATCACGAATGAGTGAATGAATGGATTCGATTGAATCCATCGTTTCGAGTATCCGCTGAATGGGGCACAATTTCTTGTGACAAGAAAGGTCACAGATGAAACAATCGGAGCGCAGTATTGCCCCGGATAGACTGGCTGCAATCGGCTTTTGAAGATAGAAAGTAGAATCGTGTAAACAAAGAACGAAATAGTAAAAAGCCATTATTATTATTATTATCGAATCAACCACGGAATAATTGTGAATGTTGGCTACGCGTTGGCTCATTCAATTGTTAAGGCGACTAGGAACTATTTATGAGTTGAGAAAAATCTGGGGTGGGGGGAGGTCAGCAGCATCGTTAACATCAGCAGTGGCAACACAACCAAAACTCTAGCGCCGCCACCACTTGATATGTACGGCCGGGAGGCAAGGGATTAGCATAACAGTACATCTTTCGGTTGTTGATTACGGACGTTTCTCCAAGATCAGTCGTATTCCGTGTACTTTGAGAATCAGTTAGAGCTCAATCATTTTGATATAATTCACATTTACCTCACGGTTGCTTGTGAGTATTGGTGTGAGATAATTGCTATGGGTTTGAATTGATCATCTTTCGAACTTCACATTCAGTCACAATCCTCAGGTCTTCCCGTCAAGCATATACTGGGCATACACTTCACTCGAGTTTTGCTCTCATTAGATCTCGCTCATCAGTAGTGCATATTCACCGTCTCACCGTGCGTTGCTTTGAACTCCGGACCCATCGTATGGAAGGCGTGTATTACCTCTGTTTTGGACCTCCGAAAGCCTCCGTATGGTTGTGGTTGGGTATCTACCATTGCGGCTGGTCACCATTTCCTTGCACCTCAAGATATGCTCCCATTAAACCAAGCGTCTCAAACAGCCTCGCTGAGAAAGCCGTGCTCACTGCCTTCTCGTGGTGGTGTTTTCCCACTAAAGTGAGAGGACGAAAAGCCGACATCCGGGGCTATAAAAGGGTGCTGGACCACTGGTAGTTCACCCACGGGAGTTGGTCAAAAACCCTGATTACAAATCAACCAAGAGGAGGCGCACGAACCACACACACATTCTCGGTTGTGGTCACCGGCTCGGTTGGTCATCGAGGTGTATTGAACACCTTGGACGTTTGACCCCGTCCAAAGGGCGTATGATCCGATGAACAGGATGGACACCGGCCCCCAATGGATTGCAATTATCATAGGTCAGGCTTTCGCTAGCTCAAGGTCCCGGTTGTGGATTCATCAAAAAAATTCACTTACCTTGGCCTGGGCAACCTGACAGTATTCCGCCCACATGCAAATCATGGAACGTCTTTCTTTTTCATAAAGATTATTTTACCATGATTTGTTTGGCATNTATATATATATATATATATATATATATATATAATCAGATGTCATGTTCAGTGATAGTCAGCTCAATTTGGCCCGAGAGCGACCAAGAGTAAAACTCGAGTCTATAGAGTGTATAGTTGACTGGAAGAACTAAGAGTTGTGTGTGAAGGATGATCAATTCAACTGAACATTTTGTTACAATTGTATCTTGAATACGAATCAGAACAGCAATTATGATGAGCGAAGTGCGTCGGACGCGATATAACTATTCACCAGCCAATAACTACGACACTGAACCACTGGTTCTGTCTGAAGGGATAACGGATGCTAAACAAGTTGAATAGGAATCTAGGAAATAAATAAAACACTCCCTATACCCTGAATCAACTTTTGATCGGTCGCAGCCTGCTTTCTAGCAATTAACCGTGTTATTTTCTGTTCAATAAAGAATAAAATTATTACAATGGCTAACCGCGTACTTTTAATAACTCAAAACCCTACTCATTACCTAGATTAAGCAATCCTTCCCCTCCGTATGCTCATTACAGTACAAATAACCGACTGGGATGTGTAGGGCAAATGGAAAATAAAAAAACACTTACCCAAAACTCGGCCTGGTGTCCCAACTACCACATGTGCACCCTGGGCCAATTCTCGAGACATTTGTGCCACATTACTTCGACCACCGCAACACGCCACGCAACGTATCGGCATGTGGTCCGATAGGGCAGACATGACCTGTCAAATGTAGCTCACAACGGAGATGGAAAACGTTAGATTGGCCAAACTTATATGACGATTCAAATGTGGGAAGAGATACCAAGAAAACAAATCGCTGAGTGGGCTTGGCGGACAAAAATGGTTGTGAGTTGGCTTCTCAACGTATTTAGTCTCCGTTTTACAACGGGCGACGAGTAGAAAGAGCCGATTGGGTTGTACACATTCAAGTCCCAGACTGGATGGAACCAGGTAACAGCGGCCCGTAGTGAACAGACACGATTAAAGACCTACTCATCATCGTTCGTGTCTAGTGTTCTCTTTCATGCCAGCCGGATTTCGTTGTTACGGTCGTTCAGTATTTCACTAACAGGTCTACTCATTGCACTGAGAGTCCGGGAACCAGAAAAGATGAGCTAGTTTAGGATCTACATTTTGGATCAATACAAACGTACAGACCGTGCATATTTTCTAGCCCACATCTGAGTGTGATCGGCAGTCAAATGGGTTGGACCCCTGAGTAACGAGGATCGACTGTTCAGTCTAAGGTCTGGCACTTGGCATAACAAATAATACCTCTGTGGGGTAGGCGTGAGTCTAAAATTGACTGGCTGTCGCTGAGGAGGACATCAGAAAAGGCTGGAAATCGTCTATGCTGATCAATCTCACTGTGAGCTGGTTGACACAGTTTTCCACTTCCATCCCGCGTGGGCCAGTGGAAATCGAACGAGAGCAAAACCCGATATGGTGCTTCTCCAGTTTTTGAATGATTGGACAAGCTGAGAACTGTGGAACCTGTGGAGTGGCGAATCAAAATCAATAACTTGTTGTCCGTGACATCCCATTATCAATACGTCCATTTTGCAATGGGGTCGTGGAACAGAAAATAGCCATCATGTACGCGAAGAAGCTTATCATTAGGATATCCACAAGCATATTTAACACTTCTTGTTGATCATATATGAAAATGTAATTGCCAAAATGAGCAGGCTAGTTAACAACGTAACTACACCCAGAGAAAGCAGTTATTCCAGGCAAATGGGCAACCGGATCCGAACATGGAAAGATCAGCAGATAAACTTTTATGGATTCGGGTAGTTGAAGAACAAATGTAAGTTTTAAGTACGGTGCTTGATCTTT